CGCCGTCGGCACGGCCTTGATCGGGGGCTGGCCGACCTCGGCGATCTCCGCAGCACCCAGACGCCCCGGCCCGAGGCCGTCGTCGTCGTTGGCCTGGAGGCAGTACGTGCGCTGGATCTCCATGGGCGAGATGGTCCATTCGCCGTAGTTGAAGTAGTCGAAGGCGTCGGCCGGCGTCAGTGCTCGAAGGTCGTCGTGGCTCATCGTCATCGAGCACAAATCCGAATGCTTGCTTCCCGAAAAAGACCACCATCATTGTATTTTAATACCATATTTGCTGCTTCCGATACAAATACGTAGATATTGGGCCGCTGTACGCATTGTATTATTCTTGTCGCGATCCCAAGTGGGTTTTTCCCTCAATGCGCGCGTGGTGCCCAGTTCCGTGCCGTGTCCCAGGGTACTACGGATAAACTGTTTTTGCCCTAGTAGCGGGCGGACTGGCTAACCGATAAGATCGGACGGTTCCACGCACAATACCAGCGCCTTGTAGTACAGAGAGCTCGAGCAAGCTAGCTGCTGCCGCGTCTTCTCGTCGGTGGCTGCTTGGACCAGCTCAGTGAGACCAGCCCGTTGGTAAAGATACCATCCGGATAAGGAGCCAATCAAACGCCGACCATGTCCCACATTGTGCCTGGTCGAGCGATCGCGCCGCCCACTCGCTTCGACGATGGACAAGTCAAGGTGCGGGGGTGGTCGACCACCCGCGCGGTCTCGCTCGGATCTATTGAAGCGACAAGCTGCATGGTTCCAGGAGCTCATTCAAGGGTTCATATGCCCGAGATGGATCGCGTCACATTTGTTTCCACTCGTTCTCGACGGTGATTGGCTACACACATTGTGAAAATGGCCAAAGTGAGTGAATTCCGCGGAGTCGCACCTTCATTCAGCATCGAACCAGCTAACAGAAGAACGACTTGTCCTTGATAATGCAGTCTCCCTGTCATCGACCTTGTCGTAATTAGTACCATCTACGCTCGGTAGAATGAATGCCTTCTCGGCAATTCAATGGTCCTCGTTTCCATCGATACCCAATTCGAGAATTTGTCTGCGTCGACAGGGCATACATAGCCACCTCATGTGCTGACCATCAAGTACCCACGCCATCGTTGAATGCCAGGTACAGACACGGCGGTAATCAGGTCGATTGGTTTTACGTGGTTGTCTGCGCTTCCCACTCGTGCAGCAGTCCCTTGAGGCGCTGCGCGACAAAATCGTTTTGGCTCGTGATCGCGAACGCGTCGTACGGCGGTGATATCGTCGCGGCGCCGCCAAAGACAAGCAGTTGCTTCTCAGCGCCCATGGTCGTCTCGATGCAGCGCTACGCAGCATTCCAGTATGAGTGCAGAACCAACGAGCTCGACCGTATGTACGCTAGCGAGAAAGGTCTGCAGTGCGAGCTGCGCAGCCTCGTGCGACTCGAATCGCTTGGTCTGTGCGCGAGCATTTACGTGCGCACGCAAAGCGGCGATGTCGACGCCACCGTCCGCATCTTCTTCGATGGCAGCGATGGCATGGCCCATGACGGCGCGACTCTGGACGGCCATCGCGTCGTCGTCGAGCGAGAGGAGGACAGCAATGCCATTCTCTGGGTCCACACTATAGAGCGCTCCTCGGAGAAAGCTCATGTTGGTTTGGCGCAGCACGACGGCGGCGCCCACGAGGTGCGCATGGGCCACGTATACGGCATGCGCGCCGGCCATGTCTTTGTATCCGTACGATCCGGATACGTAGAGTCAAATACGTGGCAGCCGCTCTGCGCAGCCAACGCATTCAGTTTGCCATTTGAGGTCAGTCATGACTGGTCCATGGGTCCTTGGGCATCTTGTGGTAACCCGTAGTGGAAGACATTCCTATTGCGCCTACGGTCACATACATGGCACTGGGTGTTAACTTTGCTCACGTCAACACCACCATTGTGACAAGGCGATGTGTCTTTTGTGCGTGTGACGGAGAAGCCCGTTGATGTGAGACTGTACCGCCTTTGGCAGCAGTCGGTAGCTCCGCTGCCACTTTCCGTTCGGCTCGGATGTACTAGTAGTAGTTACACTAGTTGAGGCCATGCTTCCCGCTTCGCATGAGCCTCGCCAGTCCCTACTATGCGAGCCGTTCCGGCCAAAGCGGCGAACCTGGATCGCTACCCATTTCGATGCAGAGGACGCAGATCAAAACGCATGCATTATTGTCTTTTCGAAACGACTGCTTCCGCCGTGCGGTAGACGGTCTTAAAACGGGTTGGAGCTGGGCTGCTCAATGTAGACCCAGAGCGTGATAAAGATGAGGCCAAACGCAATGAGCGACTGGCCAATGAAGTTGCCTTGGTCCATGAGGCTAAAGTAGCTCCACCCAAAGTACTCTTGGATCGACATGCGGACGCTCGGGCCGAGCTTGGTCGCGATGAAGAGACCCATCATGAGACTCGCGACGAGGAGCGACGCGCCGTGGGACGTCTGGAGCGTGTTGTACGAGGCGAAGAAGC